TTCTAGGGTTGCTCAATTAATCGTATTATAATTGTGATTACGTTTATGGCTTGCAACGATTACGAAAACAACGTAATCGAAATAAAACGATAATTTTTTTATTATTATAACTTTCTTTCTTTTAATCATTTTTTTTGTTGTTTTTCAGTTGAATTATACTTAAAGTTCAGGATAATCAACTGTTAAAAACATACTGTTCACAATAAATGGATGTTTCCAAAGTCAATGAATAATCGAGCAGCCCTAATTGTTTCTATACATTGTGTATTGTTACTGTTGAATAACTACCATATATTTGAGTATTCAGAATAAATAACTTGGATATGTTACATGGGCTCTCTGCCACCTTCACTGCTTCGATTAAACTGATGTTAGGTCCATTGTTTAGATTGAGTCTTGGCCAGCTCTGTCTACTCCAATGTTTCTGCCTTTAAGAACGGCCCCACCCATCTGGAACTCCACTTATAGGGTTGTACATTGTCATGTTGGTTCCAAGCTCCAACATGCGTTCAGGACTGTCCCAAGAGCTCACCGTTCCGTGGAGTGTGGTTTTCCCTTAGCGCTCTTTTCTTCTGCATCTCCTCGAGCTCTTTGCCAATCTTTCTCTTCTCTGCCTCCAGGGCGTCAACAATCTTCGCCTGACACACATGGTGCTCCTCCATTGCCTGGAGTGAATCATGGTTATGTAAACAATATTAAAAAAACACCAGGCCAAGACATTATGCATGAAGCCAAACTCCGCTGCGGCTCGAGACACATCCCAAATGGCCCATCAGTAAAACATAAAACCCAGTGTCAGCATGTTTCCATAAGCTTTTCAAACTCATTTGAAATCATCAGGAATCATGAGAATTGGCAAATGAAGGAGATGATGTCATTTATAGTTACAGGAATAATATATATATATATATATATATATATATATANTAACAGACAGAGAATCAGCACTTTTGAAACAGGGCTGAAACCGAGGGGATTATGGGAAGCTGAATGATCTGTTTGGTATTTGGAGCCAAACACTTCAGAGACATGTTTTGTATATATCTGAGACCTATAATAAATTGATAAAAAAGAGTTTAATAGGGGACCTTTAACTGTATGTTTTCTCTAAACTGCCCTATATATTTTAGCTTTGCAAATAATTTGACACATTTCGTGTTTTCAGACTTGAAGGCGGAGGTAGAGAAGCTGCGAGCTGCCCAGGCGAGTTCCCTGGGGATCGAACCGGAGCGGGTCCGGCTGTTCCAGCAGGAGATCGTCGGCCTGAGAAGCCGACTCTGCCAGCAAGAGAGGGAAATGGTTGAGGCCAACCGGTCAGTAATACTGCATTCATTTGAGCTTTCTAGCTGTTTTCCTCAGTTTTGGAAAGCCATATTTACAATAACAACTCCTACTTTACTTATTGTATGGGCTTATGTGCATTGTTTTGCCTGCAATCTCTCTTGTTTCATATATTTGCATTGTTTTAATGTAATCTTCTTGCACTCACATGCTAGTTTTTAAAACATGTAATAGTTTCTTAAAATAATAATGAAAACAAATAATTATTTTGCAGGCTTTATCCTTTTTATAGACTTTAGTCAGTGGGAAGGTTTATAGTTGATTAAGAAGGGAAAATATAAGTGGATCATGGCAGAATTTCATAAAAGGGGATTTCATGTTTTGTTATATCATATCTTGTTTTCTGGCAGGGCATGGAGGGAGAAACTGGAGCAAGCTGAAATCCGCAAACGTGAAGAGACCAAAGAGTTGCAGGTAAAAGGACTTGATTCTCTTTTTACTACGCTGAACCTTTAGAGGTGAAAGTTGCAAACCCTGAAACAAATGCCTCTTCATCCTCACCCTAATAACTTCGTTTTCAGAAAGCAGGTGCGACATTCAAAGTAGACAATCGTCTTCCTAACCTCGTGAATCTGAACGAAGACCCTCAGCTGTCTGAGATGCTTCTCTACATGATCAAAGAGGGGCAAACCACCGTGGGCAAGCTCCAGACAAAGTCAGAACACGACATCCAGCTGAACGGAGCCCTCATCGCTGACCAACACTGGTAAAACCAAATCACTGGAAAAGCTAATGTTAGGAGTGATTGCATTTCTATGTATTTTGAATAGTGGGCGTATTTTTTACCTACAGTGTTTTTGACATTAAGTTAATGATTCCAATCAATCTATTCTCTACTTCTTTAAGTCAAAGCAGGCATTCAACATGAAACATGTGATTTGTTTTTGTTTGTAGTATTATAACAAACCTTCAGGGCACTGTCAGCATCACTCCAATGGAAGACGCAAAGACCTTTGTTAATGGAAACATCATGTCTGAAGCAACAGTCCTCCACCATGTAAGTATGTATATTATAAGCATTATAGGATGGAGCAATTTGTGCTATGGCTTCCTTTTTTACTTAATGTAATGTTTATTATCTTTGCCTTTTTTAATGACTGTTTTTAAATGCCATTTTCTTAATGTCTTTCATTTTTGCAAAGCACTTGCCTTGTGTTGAAAGGTGCTATATAAATAAACTTGCCTTGCCTTAATTGGTTATCCGTTTTATTAATGAATTCAACACTTCTCATCACTATGTCTATTTTCCCCAGGGTGACCGGGTGATTCTTGGTGGAGACCACTACTTCCGCTTCAACCATCCATCAGAGGTGCAGTCTGGGAAGCGTGTGTCATGCTGGACAGACGCAGGCGATGGCCAAAAAGACTTTGAATTTGCCAAAAATGAATTACTCGCAGCCCAAAGAGCTCAGTGAGTGCAAAAGACTGGATAAGAAAATTTGCAATATAACTAAACCAGCCTTCCTGGTCAAGGCAACATCTATTTGGGAAGACGAATACTCCTCCTAATCCCTCTTTGTGTGTCCCAGGCTTGAGGCAGAAATTGAAGAAGCCCATTTGAAGGCTAAAGAGGAAATGATGCAGGGGATCCAGATGGCCAAGGAGGTGGCCCAGAAAGAGCTATCTGAGCAGAGGGCGCTTTATGAGGGACGGATCCAAACTCTGGAAAGAGAGCTGGTACATAAGACTTCTTGTGAAAATAAAAATGACTCCAGAGAAGTGCCGGAATACTAGCCTGGGGCTTCTCTTTCATTTTTATAAGCATTTGAGGGAATCATGACTATTAAGTGATACAGTTCTGACCAATGCACTTTTTTCTATTATTGACTTTCTACACATTTTTAGCTGTACTGCTATTGCATTGGAAATCAGTTTGCATATTTATGTCTTACTTGAAGACATATTTCCTTAAACATTATGTATGTTTTTCATGTACAACTTGTATGTATATTCTAGTCAAGGCAACCTCTCAATGTATGCAAACATTACAAAATACATTTCATCCAGGACGAGGAGACAGAGCAGAAGCATCAGCAGGAGTTGGCGCAGGAGAAGGTTGCCAGCCAGATGGCAAAGCTGAAAATGGCCAAGCAGGAGCTGGAGCAGGAGGTGGACACACAGAAGAAACGCATCCGTCTGCACATGGAGGCTCAGGTCAGGATCCAGAACGAAATCTGTTACATTCCCTTCTCACTTTCATGAAGTTAAACATTTTGTGCTGGAAACATTTTGTTCCTGTGAGGGGAAACAAATCTAAAAGGAATCCCACACACACATTTTTAAATATTTGACAATAGACGTATGTATTTATTTCATTTAATGCACACTGATTAGCTAATCCTGTTTTTTCAATATTATTTAAGTTACTTTTCTGCATTTTCNCTTTTAGTCTGACTTATGACAAAATTGTCCTTCAAATCCAGTACTCATTGTCAATTGTGTCATTCATCTTATTGGAAGGGTCTTCAAGGTTCATATGCGAGCATATGAACCTTGAAGACCCTTCCAATAAGATGAATGACACAATTGACAATGAGTACTGGATTTGAAGGACAATTTTGTCATAAGTCAGACTAAAAGGGCTCCAGCAACTCCAGCCATACACACCATCAGTGAAGGCAATTAAATCAAGTTTTTATATTTGTTAAGTCTTCCCTAGGATAATTGTCCAGTTCTTCCGGGTTTTGGCCTTTATTCAGTGTTTTTCCCGAACTTGAGAGGCTGGTGGGCAACAGAGGACGCTTGGACAACTTTCTTTTGTCTTTCTTTTCTTTTTAAATCAGACTTTGCATCAGATTTTCATCAGGTTGAAAACCTTCAAAACACAGAGGACAAACAAATGTTAGTTCACATGCAAATACAATTATAAACATTTTGTATGCCTCATTGCATTATTTCTAATAATAATAATTCAGTCACATTCCTGCCTTTTCAGGGTATTATAATTCAAATTATAAATTGTGAGTTATTTTACAAAACACAATTAACTTAAATGAATTAATAAGAAAGTACATTTCTCTACTTCAAACCAAGCAAACCAGAAAAGTTCACCATCTGCGGTGTCTAAAAATATTCACCAAACAAAACGGAGCGCACACAAACCACGCTGCGTAAATGCCGTTGATTGCGCAACAGCACAATAAGGCAACAGAGGCCTGTACTACGAAGCTGGTTCGTCGTTAGGTTAGGTTGGGTTATCAAGTGGATCGCTCAATCCAGCCGTGCCCTATCTAGTTAGATGCACGTTCACATGAAAGGGGTGGTATTTGGAGCATTCGACCAATCACAAACATGGAGAAGCGTCATACTTCCTGAATGAAAAGTCAACTATATAATTAGACAAATATGAAGACGTTAAACATCCATGACTTAAACACGTTATCCAGAATCAAAGCCACATAGCTGCACCTGCAATGTGAATACAGCTGGTAAAAGAAAAAGTGTTTGAATGCGTACATTAACAGGTTTATGATATCACTGCCCCGTCTAAGACACGATCTGACTTTAATTACATTTGACTCGAGTGTTTCGTCAACTTAATGTGTTGCTTAAAATAATACTTCTGCATACAGTATGTGACACTGTGAGTGTTGCGCAGCCAGATACGGCTCAGCTGACTCAGATAAGGAAATATATGATACATTATGATGTGATATGCCGCGGACTGTACTGTTACTTTGATCCGGTTACTTATGTTGTGGCAGATATTTAAGTAAGCTTTCTTAACGCTAATTTTATAAAAGTCAGATTGCTCTGAAGATGGGAGGTGATATTCTATTAATGTTCACGTTCACAGTCAGTTGATTTTTGCCGGCCGTCTTTCCTGCAACGGCGGTTTTTCTTTCTCCTGTAATGTGACTTGATCGCTTTAAACTCCGCACACGGAGCTCTGATTGGTCAGCAGGCAGTGCTTTCACTGAGTTGATCTCTTAGCCTGCAACCTAACCTGCTCCGGGGTAGGTTAGCCGCACAGCATAAGTTACCATGGAGATCTAGCCTGCTAAAAAGAGAACCAGCTTCGTAGGACCGGAAACCCCGAGTTTTCCCTGAAGTTAGCGGGGGAAAAAAACTAAGCGAAAATCCTGCTTCGTAGTATACTACGAATCTAGTTCAACCTATCCTGGATATGTTTTGAGTTATCCGGTTGACTTAATCCAAAACGAAGCCGCTCTCGCTAAACTGTCCTACAACGCTGGCTATCAACTCGTTCGCTCAAGCCAGCCATCTCCTATCTAGTTAGGTGCGCGTTCACATAAAAGGGGTGGTATCTGGAGCATTCGACCAATCACAAACATGGAGAAGCGTACTGACAGCGCAGCGTCATATACTTCCTGAATGAAAAGTAAACTATAGTGTTAATCAAATATGAAGAACTTAAACTTTAAACATCCATGACTTAAACGTTTTATCCAGGATCAAAGCCACATAGCTGCACCTGCAAGATGAATACAGCTGGTAAAAGAAAAAGTGTTTGAATGCATACATTAACAGGTTTATGATATCACTGCCCCGTCCAAGACACGAGTGGATCTGACTTTAATTACATTTGACTCGAGTGTTTCGTCAACTTAATGTGTTGCTTAAAATAATACTTCTGCATACAGTATGTGACACTGTGAGTGTTGCACGGCCAGATACGGATATACAGATATCAGAAATATGATACATTATACATTATGATGTGATATGCCGCGAACTGTACTTAAATTTACTCTGATCCGTTATGTTGTGGCAGATATTTAAAGCAGCTTTCTTAACGCTAATGTTATAATCGTCAGATTGCTCTGAAGATGGGAGGTGATGTTCTATTCATTTTCACGTTCACACAGTCGGTGATTTTGGCCAGCCGTTTTTCCTGCAACGGCAGTTTAAACTGTATTTCCTCCGCACACTGAGCTCTGATTGGTCAGCAGGCGGTGCTTTCACTGAGTTGATCTTTTATCCTGGAAGCTATCCTGCTTCGGAGCACAGACTAGGTTCCAGGATAAATCACCATGGAGGCCTGCTAAAAAGAGAACCAGCTTCGTAGGACCGGAAACCCTGAGTTTTCCCTGAAGTTAGCCGGCTAAGCGAAGATCCTGCTTCGTAGTATACCCCCCAGGAGAAAATAAACGTCAAAATAAAACAGGAAACTAAACACAAAAACTAAGACCGTGATCTGATTCCTCACCATGTCAGGACAGACTCCCTGTACGGTATGAAGACAGTTTTCTGCGTCATTGACTGTTCTGATAGGGCAGAGATGACCTTTCCAAGGGTAAGCAGGGACTTGTTGATGCTAGCACCCTCCTACAACAACAAAATAACAGAACATTGTAATTCTAAATGCAAAAAGTATAACATGCAAGGGAGATTGTGGATCAAATTACAAATAATTTAGTCTTAATAAAATGTTGCATTTTTCAAAATCTCAATTACCTATACAACTTGAGATTAACTGTTCTATTCATTCAGCCTAAGTTATTGTTTAGGTTTTCAAATGGTAAGGGTTATAGGTCAAATAATAACAAATATTTTGAGAATCATATGGTATTTGATTATATTATCGAAGCAAAAGATTGAAAAAAAAAACCCACATATACGGTAATCAATAAAGAATGAAATGAAATAGAGAAAAACTTAATCCAGGAGCAAGAACCAATAATAACATTCTCGTGTGTGTGTGTGTGTGTGTGTGTGTGTGTGTGTGTGTACCCTGAGTCGGTCTCCACTTGTGTTTGCAGATTTACAGCGCTCGCTGCCTGCCAGGTCCACCAGGTTGATCCTGCTGGTGATGCTGTGGTCATGTTCCTCACCCTCCACAAACTCAGTCTGTACAAAGAACCCACATTCAAACTTATTTTTAGTGTCACACTTAGATTAAAAACATGACAGCCACAATTTATTAGTGTGTCACTGCAGAATTATGTACATATTTAAGCATTTGCTCGGCAACAGTCATTGTGTGCGATGTGTAAGCTTGAGAGGCCGTACTTGAGTCTGGGTCATGACCAGGGTGAGGACAGAGTGAGACCTTGAGCTCTTGTCATTCATTCCAGTGGCTGCTGTGGCTCTCTGCTTGTTTCCCAGCGCTAGCCAACCCTAAAAAAAAAAAGGAAATATGTGAATTACTACTGAATCTACATGGTGTTACATCTACAGCATTTTTATTTTCTATGCTAGGCCTTGGATACATTGTTGATCCTCAGCACTTCACTAAATTAGGGGCATGAACTGCACTTTCAAGAAAAATTAATATTCAGTCAAACGTTTAGGTCTGTATTTCATTCTGTCCTCTCAGTGTACTTAACACTGAACCTTGACTTTCTTACTTGTTCAAAGTTGTTTTTAAGAGCATCCGCTGAAGGCTGATGATATAAAAGAAGAACATATCTTGACAGCCGTTTTAACTTACCTGAACGTCATTGTAGGAGCTCACAATGTTCCTGTAAAGAAAAAACAAAGTGAGCACTCCTGCGCATCAGACCATTCAAGAATGTTCTTTTTAGCCTTGAAGACTTGAAGCTAAATAAATTAAAAGGTTTCTTACGCGGAGAGGTCTGCAACGTAGGGACCATTGACTGGATGTTCCCTTACCCTCAGCTGGAAACACACATGAACAGTGTTATCATGACAGGTTATTCAGTCTTACCAATGAACATAAGACCAATTAAACAGTACGTATTAAGAATTATGAGCAAGAGTTGATGTCTAAAATGTGTGACTGTTAGATGTTTCATGCTATCTTTACAGAGACTAGCAGATACAAATACAGTAATTTTACAGTAACATGCTATGTAGCTATTTTTTCTGTAAATTTAGCAGGCACTAGTTGCAAACTACTTACGGGCACCCTTCTCTGGTTTATTTGTTCTCTTGTCACCAGCAGGTCATGGATCTTCTCATTGTAGACTTCCAAAAGGCTCATCTCTACATGGCATTTCACCTGATAACCCCAAAAACCTGATAATCAGTTGTGTAAAAAAAACTAGAACAAATATTTCTCATGAACACAAATGAATGTTTTAAAATGTATTTTTAAGACATTTTCTTATAAATAAAATGTTTTTAACAGGGATACAATCATTCAAATAGAGAGTTTACCTCTTCGTTTTCCATAGATGCCAATCTAGAAAACAACTCCTGGCAGAATCGTGGGATTACGCCTTCCTCCTCTCCAAAACCCATCATCCTACACAACAATGTTTTCAAATAAATGAAATTGACAATTTGACTGTCAACTTTTAAAAACACAAGAGAACACATTAAGAGCAACGAAATTGAGGAGAGCGTAGGGAATAGGTTTCAGTGGTGCAATGTTGACTGTTATAAACAAAGACAAAAAATACTCACGTGTACGACTTCCCGGAGCCCGTTTGTCCGTAAGCAAACAGACAGGTGTTGAACCCTTCAAAGGCCCTCAGCAGCAGAGGTTTAGCCAGCGTCTTGTACACGGTCTGCTGGCTGGCGAAGGTGGGGTCACAGTCATCCACTGAGCAGAAAGAGAAGTCGTACGTGAAGTTGTATCTCTGTTTGTTGCCAGGATGCTGGACAGCAGTCTCCTGACCGTTCATGTAGATGACCTGCAAGGCCTTCTCTGCCTTTTCCCTAAAACAGAGCAAAGATATTTATGAATGTTCTTTCAGAAATAGATTTTGTCTGCCAGAGAGAGTATGTTCCTGATTATTAATTAATTATATTAATTAATAAATGATAAAAAAAACATATGCCAACGTTTTTGTCATAAATGGGCGATTTGATTAGTGTCATTTGTTAATCCCCTTTATGATTCTGAAAGGGTAATACCATTCACTGTGTTTCTTGTCTTGACTTGATTTCACTGCTTGCTAAACCTATCATGATTAGTTAAATTAGCCAGATGACACCTTCAGAAAGCCCAGCAGTGACTTATGAAGACCCAGACTCTAAACGCTGACAGACATTACTCCTTAACTTAGCCACCAATAGAGATAAATACTGCATCACAAACCTGGCATTGAAAGGCCGTAAACGGACCGCGACAGTCACTGCACTGTTCTCCATCTTCAATGAATCCTGGGTCTGTTGAGCCTCGCTGGATCGGGACAGGTGCATGGTAGGTGGAGCAGGAGTAGTGGAGGTCCTGGCTTGGCTCGCATCTCCCTTTTGGCCTGAGGTGGAGGTCTTCCTCACCTGCAGGGCGGTACTTATCTTGTGCACACCTGAAGACGCGTTCATGACCCGGGGAGCTGCCACGGGTTTTGTATTCTCCACTTGCTGTATTCTGGATTTGGGCCTCTCTAGACTTGCAGATTTGACTGCCACAGGTTTAGGAGCGTCTGTCCTGGCCAGCTTCTCGAACACGTCTCTCCTGGCGGCAATTTTTCCAAACGGGGTCTTTTTGGTAGGTGTCTTAAACGTGTGAGCTTGGTCCTCTAGCTGCCTACTTGTAGACACATATTTGGACAGCGTCTTCCTCCCCTGGGTTTCCACAGAAGCAGCCCCTTTGCTCTTACAGGTACTTTCTCTTAAACTCGTAGACCTGAACACACCAGCTGCCCTACCGTTTGGCTCGCTGAGAACTGTTGGAGTTGTCTGTAGTCCACCGCCGCTAACCACACGCTGCATATGTGTGCTTTTACCCATGGAGGGAGTCCGGGTCCTGCGCTGCAGTGTCAGTCTCTTCTCCGGTACCGGTGTGGTGCTCTGGCTGCTTTCTAACAGCGTTGTCTCCGCTGTTTCAGACCCGGTTTTCCTTCTTGACCTCCTTTGCAGAGTGAGTCGGCCTCGATAGGGAGTCTGCTGTCCGCTGCTGCTTTTTGAGAGAACAGAAACGACATAAGTCCTGTTCCCTTTTCGGCTTTTATCCGAGGACCTGCTGTCTTCACACGCAGAGCTTCTGGATGTTATTTCAAGTTTGCCTTCCGTTGTCTCCGCCGACTTTCGCTGAGCCGGGCGCTCTCTGCCCGGTGTCCTAGGTGGTGCCACAAGTTGGTCATAATAGGCTGTATGCTTTCTCGCTTGTACACTAAACAACGACATGGCTGCTCAAAACACGTTCAAATAAGCTCCCCGCTTAGCTAACGTTAACGACAACTTAACACCGGTTGCTCTAGCTACCTAACGTAACAACAAAACAAGACATAAAAACATGTAAGGCGGACGCAAGTACTGCGGAGTGTGCTGGTTAAAATCGAATATTAATCCATTAGGGTAAAAAAACAAGTTGTGTTCAAGCAACTGAGCTCCATCGGTTTGTTATTGTCCACTTATCTCTTCCGCGTTTGCCCGCTTTATTTTCAAATCGCCTCCAGAAGTGACCGCTGATTGGCTGAATTCTCTTAAATCGTTACGTCATGTCGTGGTCACAACATGTAGGTACCTGAGGCTGACGCTAGGTGGCAGCATAATCAAGGTTATAATGTTGTGTATATGCCACCACAAAGTGAAGCCGGAAAGCCTGTATATTTCCCAATGAAAAAAAATGTGCTGCTCATGTTTTCCTGTCTAAAATTAGCACTCTACCGTTAACAAAGTGACGTACTCTAGGGTTTAAACAAAAACATATCAAACTATCTGCGGTGGGAGAGGGCAGTAGGCCTACGTTTCAAAAGGCTCCAGATTTGATATTTTTCCTGTCAACAATTTATTTTACTCAGTGTTTGAAATGTCAAAGTAACTTATATAAAACAATACAATTTAAATAAATATACACATAGTCTGTACCTCAGTATCCAAAAAAGGCACATCAGCCTGTTTTAAATCTATGTTTTGAAGAAGATAATACCACTATTTGAATACATTGTAGTACATAAATTACAAAAGTCATTTATTCATTGACAATTTTTTTTCTCCAAAAAACAATTTACAAAATAAACATTTAGCATTTACCAAATAAATAGACATCACCACTGGCATTACAAAAATAGACTATTTCTTGCGTCGGTCGTGTTTCCTTATGATATCTATGAGGTTGTTCTTAGTGACCAGCGTGTTGTCAGACTCTTGCTTCGTCTTTTTTCTTTCCCTCTTCTGCTGCTCATGAAGGTAGGGGGAATTAAGGAGCTGAGGGGGCAGTGAGGACCCTGTGGCTTTGACCCGCTTCACCACCTCTAGGAACATCCGTTTATGGGTGTTGTTGAGAAAGGTGATGGCTGTTCCTCTGTGTCCCAGCCGGCCAGCCCTGCCCACCTGGATGTAAGAAATGAAGATATGTCTTGTGTTGCTCAACTTTAACTTTAAAATGCTGTAAAAAAGTTGGAACACTCATACACCTAACCATAATTATACTCCAGTATTACTAACCTGATGGACATACTCATCCATTGTGTTTGGCATGTCAAAGTTAACCACCAATTTGACATTGGCAAGGTCGAGTCCTCTGCCTAGCACACCTGTACTGATCACAACTTCAAAGTCTCCTTCCAGAAGTCCCTGAGGATGACACAGATCAAATATTAATTTGTAAGCTACAATATGTTAAGCCTGATCAGCATTTCAAAATATATGATGTACATTTCACTAAAACTCAACATAGTTTTGTGGACCTCTGTAAATGATAACCATGGTTAAGAAAAAATATCGGCAAAAACAATATGTATGCTTCAGGATTTTAACAAATATAATTTTAAACTCTGGATCTATTGGTTGGTCCATCTTAAAAACAACAAAACCATAGATATGTATATTATAAATTGGCAAGATCCCAATTTTCCTTTCTGAGGAAGGATGTTAAATCCATTAAAAAAAAAATATTTCTATTAGGAGTTGTATTTTGTTACAGCATCCTTCTGCATTCAATATTATATAAAAAAAACAGTTGAGTCTGAAGTCTCAGCTCTAGGTATATGTGGTCCTGCAGCTAAATGTTATTCCAGAGCAACACTCTTGGACAACAAACATAGGAGAAGTGTTATTTATCCTCTTGACAGCGCATGTTCTGGCTGCCGCTGGTCTCACCCTGAGGATGCGGTTGCGTTGCAACTGGGTCTTGTCAGAGTGGATTGCCACAGTATTGAGGCCTGTCACCTTGGCGACCGCTTCGCACAGTAGATCAGCCCCCAGTTTACAGTCTACAAAAACCACCACTGGAGGCTGGTACAGCTTACTGTCCTGCAAACCCACAAGGAAAAACAAAGGGGTGATGTTAGTTTATTATTAATTGTTTACTCTTTGCATTTGTATATGGATTTGTATATACATATACTATATATATTTTAACATATACGATTTGCTCATTAGGCTCCAAGGAGTGTGACATTTAAAATGTAGGGCATGTTCTTTTTAACAAACCTTTGGACAGGTTCAGAGGTTTAAGTCCTCTTGAAGATTGCGACCTTGACTCTCCAACCAACAAAACACTTACTGCAGGACTGGCTGACATGCCTGCAAATAATCTAGATAACCTGTAACTTTTCCACATTGAAAAATAACGTGTTTCTGATTCAAGCAGCAGTTGGTAAAGTGATAATGATGGTTATGAGTGATTTCTATGTCATGTCGACTCCTGAGTGTACCATCCCATTTCCCTTGTAATAACCTTTATGATTCTACAGTACTCCTGCTACACCACCTTCTGCTGTTCAGAGACGACAGATTTATACTCTGAGCTGCATTCAATAACAGATGTCATAATTAGAAAAGGAAAAATCCCTATTACAACCACCCTCCACTCAGAGAAGTAGCTCCTGTTACTCACACAATGCTCTAATAAAACGTATTTACCGGCTAAATCGGACCCTTCCTGTCCTGCCCTGTGTAAATGGTGCAAGCCATTGCTGGGATTCCTGGACTGGGGCCATAGCCCGAGGCCCACCCATTTCCTCCAGACAGGGGCAGGGCTGCAGAATGGCTGTCTAAATATGGTGTAGTGCGGAGACAGGTCTTGGAGCTTTAGGAATTATCACCTTTAAACAGACCGTTTTAAAGTGTCAAGCTGGGGCTAGTTTGTATAAAGACTGAGTGATATAGCCATTATAAAACATACATTTTGGTAATAATCCACTTTCTGTGTTTGTCCCTTTCAAAGAACTCTCCAGAGTACAATAAGACCTTGTCTTACACAAGACCTAAGGAAACTGCTGACCTTTTTAATAATAGACAGCCTATGTTGGCAGTGAAACTGAGTTTCAAATGGTACTCCACCCAAAATGTTTCCATATTTTAAGATTTCCTGAGGAAAAACACTGTGTACCTTTTGAAGTAACTCTAAAAGCTCTAAACCTCAAGTCTTTAACCTACATTGAGAATCTCAAACAGCTTCTTCTTCTTGGAGGGTTCCTCTAACCAAAGCACGATCTGCCTCACGTTGGCACAGGGCTGGTTCTTCTCTCCAATAGCGATACGGACAGGGTCGCGAACCAATCGGGCAGCCAGCTCCTCCGTCCCTGTGGGGATGGTGGCCGAGGCCAGCAGAGTTTGGTGTTCTTCTGGGACGTGCTCCAAAACCTCCAACACCTGCTGCTGGAAACCCATCTTCAACATAGTGTCAACCTAAAGGACACACCCCAAATACAGAAGGTTGCAGGACTTTCTCCATTTCACAATTGTATGATTTCTGTACAATTAACAGCATATAATGAAATACTTTAAAAACTATTATTAAGGAAATCCTCAATTTGTTAGCATGTTTTGGGATATGAGGCGACTTTAGTCAAAGATAGCTATCATTAAATCCTCTTTGTTTGCTCATCATAACGTCCAACTCTAATAATATAATTTCTAAACGGCTGCTGTATCAACACACACACACTGGTTTTCTGGGAGATACTGAGTTTAAAGGCTTGGATGCAGAGGATTTCAAAGACCTGCAACTTTACTGTCTTTGATGGATTTACTTTTGTGTAAAACATTTTCACTAAAGAATGAAACCTCTAGGAAATCTGAAATGCTCTGTGTTTATCATACCTCATCAACCACCACCACCTTCACCATGTCCAGCTGCACTGCCTTCTGCTTCAGGATCTCGATGAGTCGCCCTGGGGTGGCTATGATAATCTAAAGGGGAATGAGAGAAAAGAACATGACGCTGTAGGAAAGCTACAAAGTGTTTGGACTGAGGAAGAAGAAAGTTACTGTAAAGACAAAGAGTGTACTTTGATGCTGCTTTTGAGGCGGTGGAGTTGCTGGGGGAGGGGCATGCCGCCCACCAGCAGAGCGGTCCTCATGTTGGGGACACCTATCACCAGCTCCTTGGCCTGCCTCTCTATCTGAATGGCCAGCTCCCTGGTGGGGGTCAGGATGAGAGCCACAGGACTGCCTGCACTGTGTGCTGGCTTCTAAACAACAAAAAACGTACAGCATCTTAAGCAACATATACTTATATAAACATACACACACACATATGCAAGCCCCAAAGCCATTAGCCATGAAGCAAGACATTTTATTAAGTTATATGAGAGAGACGTTTCATGAATAGTTTAATAGTACTATTAATTTGTAGTTGTTCCCATTAAAAATAGATGAATTCTTTTTGACTTAATGGCCAGCTCCCGCAATGTTATCTTGCTAAAGGACACTTCTGCTCATAGGTAAAATATCAGTCTGAAATATCTAACCATTTCAGTTAAGTTTACCTTCTAACCATGCAAACAATCCCCCGAAATAAAGTAGGTTCCTTTTGATTTTGTCTAAACAAAGAGATGTACTTGACCTGGACACTATCTTTGTTAATGCTGGTCACTACTTATTATAATTGTAAATACTGTTTTGAACTTTTGTGAAGAATAACTTTTGTAGGTTAAGAAGAAGAATAAAACAATTCTGTATTTTTTCTAAACGTAAGTTAACCTGTTTCAGATATTTACATATATGCATAACCGACACCGTATTTTTATTATGGTGATGGTGTGTAAATGTTTACATTCCTTTTAACATCAGTATGCCTAAGTGATTGATGGATTATCAAGGCTAACACGATTACTGCTAGAATGTAACTGTATTTGCTTTTCCAAATTGTATTAATGCAATAACTCAAACAAGGCTAAGTTTATGGGGAGGCCGAGATGCGGTTTAACTTATATGTTTTTATCACCGTGACTTAAAATGTAAAATCTGCCGACATATAAGGCTGACTTCTGACATGCAGGATGCTGGTGTTTGCCAAATGTGTTTGTTTCTTCTAGATAACATATCCCTATAGAAGTTTCCTATAGATGAATTAGTCTCTTTCTCTTGGTATAAAAAGGCAGTACTGTACCTCCAGTGCCCTCACTACCACTGGCAGCAGGAAGGCTACAGTCTTCCCTGATCC